AGTTCATCCAGCTCTGTGACTTATTGACAGCAGAGAGACATCGAGAGAGAGGACGATGGGGAAAGGGAACAAAACTGGCAGAAAAGCTCGACGTGAATAATAATGTCAGGAACAAGTGAATGTTGAGATGTCACAAAGGAGTTAATTCATGTGAAAACATCTCATCGTCCGTTGTTGACTGTAAAGGTGTCATTACTTTATGGTTATGTTCAAAATGATGTACTTTGCTGTCACCAGCGACATCAACTATCACATAAATTCAGCTAATTAATGGAAATCTGAACTCCCTGCCAGACTGGGACGATGATGAAGTGCTCACAAATACTGGAAGTTTTAATTAAACACATTTCTCTCCTGCTTTGTTTGAACTTTACCCGCATTGCTCTACACATCCACTCGATCATCTTTTCACCTTTTTATATTAAAATAACAAATAGTTTCTTTATTGATTTGTTGATTATGTTCTTGATTAATCACTCAACTCTGCAGCTCTACATCTCTAAAATCATTGTTTTGATGAACCCTTACTGTATTGTTTTTTTTGTCCTCGGCAGACAGAAAAAGCTTTAAAAACCTCCGGTACACAACCTGCTCAGCACCAAACGCCAGACAAACACAGTAAGCGACGAGCTGGCAAACACAGTTGAGCATTCAGCAGCTAACGAGTCTCACATTTTTCTTGAGGAGATGGTGGAACCCAAAAACGGAGCTAAAAGAGAGTGAACATTGGGAAAAAATTCATCATGTGACTCAAAGCAACACGTTTGCCTTATCAACTAAAAAAGTGATGATGCGTCAGATGTTTTGTTTACAGCTTTTTTTCGGTTGCTCCCAAGGGGACAAAAATAATCAATGAACCAATTTTATTTTTTTTAAATGACCACAGGCGTAAGACGTGTTGTTCTCAAGAGTCTTGCAGACAAACACAAAGGTCACAGTGTTTGGACTGATGTTTGACTGCGACTTCTCTTTTGAAGTAATAATACAATGAGCAATTACAGTAATGAGCCATTTTCAGCCAGTAATTAGGAGGCGCATCGATTCTTTAATCTCATCCTATTTCAACATCTTTTACTTCCTCTGAAAAATACAGCAGCCAGGGTTTTAACTGCTGCCAAGTGAAGAGGCCGTAATAACCCAATTTTACCGTCTGCACTGTTTACCAGTTAGATGTATAATTGATTTTAAGATTTTCACAGATCACATTTAAGGCTCAGCTAAAGCTTCCCTCCGCTACGCTGGAGACCTTTAAGTTCCTTCTGATCCTCCAAAGCTGAGAACTAAGAAACTCGCTCTGACTGTCATTCAACTCTCAACCCAAAAGGTTATTAAGTTGTTCAGTTTGTAGCGCGTCGTGCCTCCGAAAAAATCCCTGTAAATTAACTTTTTTTACACCTACAACATTGGGTGCAAAAACATGTTTTTTATTGCAGAGTTGCATTACTTGACAGAGGGGTTATTTTTAATGGCAGCTCCCCATAGGCATACAACAATAACACTTTGAACAATCCTCTGTGTCTCTCACATCCTATGAAACCTGTCACAGTGACATGAGTGCTGCTGATATGTCAGCATCAGTGGTCGTTTGTGGTATTTTTGGGTGTTTTCCCCCAAAAAACACGTTTTCTTTTCCCAAACAATGCTCTGGTTGGAATTTGATCATTTTAAAGAATATGAATTATGTGACAGCTCAAGATAACAGGCAAGAATAAAGATAGTGGTTTCTTTACCATCTTAGACGGGTAGCAGGTGTGATCTTTACTGCCTTTCTTCGTCCTGTCCAAATATTCAGAAATTCAGTTCAGTACAAAACTAACGCATAAACAATGAGTTATTGGATTATGAATTCATCGGTGGCGTTTGCTCTTTTTCTGAAATTATTTTGATATGCCAAAAGCGGATGTAATTCAAGACAAAATACATTTCCCTCGAAACGTATTTCACAATGCAGTTTCGGTGAATAGGAACTTAATTTTTACGAGACCAGGCTGCCTTTAAAGACCCAGTGTTGGAGTCAGTGATGTAACTATCGACTTTACATAAGGCTGCCAAATTTACAAAAAGTTGTTCTACCCCTTTCTAAGACTTTATGTGTTTTTTTAAATTTTTTTTATTTTTTATTTTTATTTATTTATTTTTTTTCCATTTCCAAAGACCATCGATCAATGAGGAGAGAGGAATCACATCTCCATGTCACTGCAATGCGTTTCTTTTACACATAAAGTAATTTCATCAATTTAATCTGTGAATTAATTGAATTAGTCTGCTGACTCTGTGAAATTCTCCAGGAAGCAAATGAGCTCGATCTAATAACTCCTGTGATCTTTGTCGAGGTGTCACAGAAGTAGAACCAACAGGGTACAGCTTATGGAGGACATTGTAGTGAACCAGTTTCTATGAGCTTATTAACTGTCTTGTCATAAATCTGACCAGAGATCTTCATCAACTGTGTTCAGATGTGATTCCCGTCTCGCTCTAGATTTATGCAAACCTGGCTTTGGGCCCTCAATGCAGCAGTAAGGAGTTACATTTTAGAGATGAATTAGTAAACATTTCCCTCATGAAGCAGTTTCTCCACATCAGTAAATACAGATAAAGTCGTTCAAGGGCTCAGGTTGGTCCTAAAAAAAGGCTTTAATTGAAGATGGCAGAAGAAGGTATATTTGTGCAAGTCATGTCTTTTAATAGACTTTTAAAGAGGAAGTAATGTGAATCGCAGCAGAGCTCTTATTCACCGCTAAATGGAGCTCCAAAGCTAAAAGCTACTGACTTTCAAAGTAGCTTGAAAGTAATCTACCATATTAGCATCAGGTTTATCGTTTATTCATGTGCAGTATAGATAATCTTGTTATTCTGTTTCTCTAAGCTTTTGGCAATACCATATGACTGTCACACGTTCAGCTCATCATTTGGTCCTCGTGGTACTTTATCATTCACCCGTGTGTTCGTGTGGCATGACAGGATGTAAAGGCAGCGGCAGGGAGAGCGCGTAATTATCATCCATATTTTAGAGAAAGGCAAGCACTCCATTTAATGTATCACGAGCTATAGGACATACAAAGTAAACCGTGTTGCACATATAGACATAGATATATCGATATGGAGCAGAAAAGCAGTCATGTGTGAGACGCTTCTTTCAGACTTGGGATGCAATTCATCTCTCTGTTTGTAATTACAATATAATTGCTTTATTTTCTGTGCGTTTGTGTGCTTGCATGTAATTTCCACAACAATAGTCGGTTCAGTTTAAAGATTTGTTGGTGGATTTACTGAACACCTGTGATTTCTAATGATAAATAGAGATAAGCAGCACATCCTCACATCTGAGAAGCTGGAACAGGAAACAGTTTAGCACTTGTGTTTGACAGAAAAACAATTAAACAATAATTCAATAAATGTTCTTTCAACCAGCTAAATGATTAATCGACTAAATGTTCTAGTTAATTTCATTAATTTAGTCTGATGTCACCTGAGACCAGCACGAGTGTGTTTGTCTCCAGTATTGCAGATCTCAGACTTTTTTTGCATCATTTCTTTCTCCTAGAATATACTTTGAAGTTCTGCCCAAAAGCGACGAGATCGGCGTGTGCTCCGATGAATGATTTAGACATCTGTCTGTTAAATGTGGCTCTTTCTGCCAGACCACAGGGGCGTGAGCTCGGAGGCATACTGTAGCTGTCGCCGTGTCAGGGGTAAATGAGGGGAGATGGGGTGTAACCAAATGCTCAACGGAGCAAAACCAAGCCATATGTTTGTCTGAAGGTGCCTCCATTTGGACCCTTGAGGATGTCATTGTTGTCGGGGCGGCGTGTTGAGCGCGTTTGTCTCTCTGGGTTCCTGCGCTCCATCAAGCTAACACTGTGTAACGGTAAATAAATGGCAGTCGGCAGCCGCCCTGCTTCAGGCGGTGGCTCCGGCCCTTTAATCTTAGCCAGCCTCTCCTCCTCTGGGTTTGTCCTCCTTTCTGACTAACCACCCTTGACAGGGCAAGTGCAGAGAGGTAGGCCGCCTGTCGGCTATGGGGCAAAATTTAAACAAACGAGAGAAATAAAAGAAGGAATGGGAGACAAAAAAGGGAAACTGACAGCTTTGGTACAGGAAAATAATTACAGACTGGAGTGGAATTAACACTTTTGGACGGGAAGAAGAGAGGCAAAGGAAGAAAGAAAATAGGGGAGCCACTCGTGCACTTTTCTTCAGGAGCTGGTTATGAGAGTCGCTGGGAGCTGAGGGAAAATGCTGAGCATTGTATCTAGAACTTAACACGTGTAACAAATTCTAGGAGGTAGTCGTTTGCCGAGGCTGCCAATGCAGTTGCTGCTTTTAGTATAATAGAAATATGAGAAGTTGCACACCGGGGAGTGCATCCAGAATGCGTAGGTTTGAAATGTAGAGTGAAACAAGGAGGAGGAGGAAGGGAGGTGAGGGCTGGATGCTGTCTACTACTCTGGTTATCCCTCTGTGGCTTTTCCTTAAAAGTTTTCTCTGAACCAGCAAGAAATTCCCCACTGAAACTTTGAATGCGTTGTTGTGCCCGAGTGTGTGTGCATTAGTCTTCATACATCCTGTGAATCTAGCCTGTAAATCAAGCATAAAGCACTGAGAATAAGCGCTTGCTTTTTGACGAATAGCCTCAATTTCAATTAATAGGACCATTTTAGCAAAGAGGGGAGGCCGGCGGGTGCATTCACGGCCACTCAGAGCAAAGAGCCAGTTCACTGTGAAAACATCACACTTACTAAAACTCTTGACAGGCACACCCCATCTCTCTTTCAACACTGAACAGACAACACGACGGCACACTCAAGGATTACTGCGAGAGGATCCAAGCTGATGGCGCCGCCGGCATAATTGTGATGAATGACGGCCTTTTGTCAGCGTGCCGCACCATGAAGCGAAGAGCAAGCTTTTTCTAGCTTGAATATGTGAGGGGGAGGATGGGGGACGGGGGTGCGTCCATTCACTTCACTTCACTTCACTTCACTTCACCAGCTCCAGTATGAGAGAAAAACATGCAATTTCCAGTGATAGCGGATTGACTTGTTTAAAAAGGGCCTCTTGGCCTTGAATGGTTGGGACTGAGTCCTCTTGTTTTCCCCTATATGTGGGTGACAGTTTGCCAATAACGCTCCTACGCAATAGTCAATGAACTGTCAACACTGGGCGAGTATGAAACACTTTTTTATTAGTTTGCACTCTGTCCTGGAGGTGTAGCAGACAGCAGCTGTGGAATAACTTTACAGTGTACACATGGCATATGTCCAAGTTCCACATGGTACACTTAATGTGTACGCCTCGTGGCTCCATGAGGAAACAAGGCACTTGACTGTACTGTACATCCTCTACACCTGCTGCTCTGGTCCATGATGCCCCCAAAACCCCACATGTTAACAACTTAGTGAATGAGAGGGCCCATCCATTATTCATGGCATCAAAAAGTTAACTTTCATCTCTAGTTAAAAGGAGGATTAAGGGTTTTTCTTCTTCTTATTGAAAATGACTGAAAAAGACTTTGAGACAAAGTACAGACGACGTCAAACCATGAATTTTAAGTGTGTTCTGAAACGGTAAAGGGATTACTTACATTGGTGTTCTGGCTTTGTAAACAATGTAGTAAAATAGACTTGTACTGTTGTTTGTGTTGCAGTAGGATTAAGATGATGCAAAAATGCTCATCTTTAAGCTCCACCATTTAAAGATTTTATTTGTGGAAGCGGTGTCTTTCATAAATAGTTGGCATCTTGAGTGAAGCACATTTTGTTGTGCTGAAATCGCTGCAGGAGGGTTTTAAAAGTAAACAAACAAGTGACTGTACGGTATGCATCTCTGAAATCATCTTGAGCTGATGTTCTGCATTTAAATCAAATAAAACATCATAATACCAAAGAAACTCACTCCAAACACCACAGTTGGTGATCTCACTGATTAACCTTTCTGCTACACATGTTTTTATTTTATTTTATATTGTGGAAAAACTAGAAATGTAATCTTTCAAGCCTCAAATACGCTCATCAAATACGGAAAATCAAAGCAGGGACTTTGGGTCGTGAGTAGACTTTGATTTAAAGCGCTACAAGCCTAAAAGGTTTGGATCCACTGGATTTGACTCTAAATTGAAATACTGGAGCACCGTGAAGAGTGTGAGCTTTACAGGCAGACGGCTTTTAAATCCTGGAGCTGTAGGGAAAAATAAATCATCACTCCCTTTGTATTAAACTTTTCTCTGTGAAAGGTCCCTGTAAAGTGACTGAGGAAAAAAAGTACACTAAAGGTCACAGTCTGAATTTGGCATCTAATCGAAGAAGAGTATTGATCTAATTTTTCTGACAAGCCACATGACCTGAACTCACTGATGAGATGCTGTATATTCAGTTGCAACAAATCTGAATGCAACAAATCGGCGGCAGTTTGGGCAGCGGTGCCGAGATCAAAGAAGGGAATGAAACACTACGAGTTACGATATACATTTCTGGAATATTCTTTACAGGCTGATAGATGTGTTCACAGTGTTTGAATATAAAAAATACACTCCCACAAATCCCAGCAATGCATTTTAAGTTATTCTCAGCACAACAAAATGTGGAGAAAGCCAAGCTTGCCAAATGCTTTTCCACAGCTCAGCATTATACCCATCGCTGTTGTACTGTAAATTCAACACAAGTTATCTGTTTGGATGTGATACTGGCTCTGCTGGTCTGGGTTTTAAGTGTGGGTGTGATCACATGCTTTTGTGTGTGCGTGTGTGTTTAGAGCGACTCTCTAGAGTTCATGGGAGATGAAAGACTGTCCTAAGGGCGTCTCCGCGGGCTCCAGGCTGACGTGGGAGAGAGTGTGGCTTTGGGAGCGAGACAGTGTGTGATAATGAGCGGGAGGAGCTTTCCCCTGAGCCTGGCCCTCTCCCTGCTCTGAGCTCTGGCTTGGCAGGGTCGAGTCTCCTGGTTCTGCTCCAGACACAGTCTCGGCTCCTGCAGCGCCGCGCTCCTGCTTGTGTCTCTCCCAAGCTGAGCTCAGCTTCACAGCCAGAGCCAGCAGGTTCTTCCCCAGGAACACAGTGGACACACGGGAGTCCCTGTACCACAGCATGCCTGTGCCCCTCAGGGCCAGGGTCAAGATGTTGATGGTGACCAGGCTGAGCCACGGGTACAGAGCCTCCTTACGGGGCCCCCTCTGTCCTGGCAGGCCGGTGGCCCCCAGCTCTGTGAGAGCCACACAGGGCAGCAGCAGCAGGAGGGCGTAGCAGTAAAAGAAGACCAGGCCCTCGGCCCAGATGGGCAGCTTCTGCTCAACGACCCCTCCGCTCCCCGCCGCTGCTGCCCCGCCGTGGGCTTCCCACAGCCCCGCCTGCAGGTCCAGCACATCCAGCAGGTCCACCACCACCCACAGCAGCCGGCCCCGCACCTCCTGCTTCCTGCGCAGCGGGGTCATGTGGTCGGCTCCCGTCAGGATCAGAAACAGGGAGGGCAGGCAGATGGACAGCAGCAGCGTCAGGGTCTTCCTGGCCAGCGGGTCGGGCGGCCGGCGCTCCTGCCGGTAGTTATGGCAGACAAAGAAGAGCTTGAGCTGCAGCAGGGACAGGAACAGGAACCAGAGGGCGTTGGCGAAACCGCGACGCGGCGAACGCGCCTCCGACATCACGCCGGCCGACACGAAGCGCAGCGCGAGCAGGAAGCCCGCATCGCCTAGCAACACCGTCGCACACTGCCACACACTAGGACCGCGAGCCCCCAGCATGCTCTGCTCCAGCAGGTAGAGGTCCACCACTGCCATCGTGCTCACTGTGACCAGGGTTGATACGCACACCTGGGGCGTGGGCACCATGCCTGAAAGAGACACACAGAAGGAGCACAGTGGTAAATCTGTTCCATCGTCACATCGCTGCACATCCGTCCCCAGAACTCACACATTTAAGGGATAAGAACATGCTTGTTTTTGCTCACGCTAATTCAGAACTGAATGTAAAATAGTTTGACGCTTGTTGCTATGGTTAAAGACATCGGCTGCCGAGTAAGCAGTGAGCGCCCTTCATCTTTGGCCAGAGCTAAATCTATTCTGGCTGCTCAAGCTGAGTAGCCTGCTAAATTGTTTTTTTTTTTTTTTTTTTTTTTGTAACCCTGCAGCTCTTTGAATTAAATAGTCTTCATTTTCTATAAACATCCGAGCTTTGCTTCTTTTTGATACTCAGACTTGCTCTGAGTTCTCTGCTGTTACTTTTTTTTCTGTGAATTTTTGTTGTTTCTGCCACTTTTTTGTATTCTTCTTATTCATTATTAATTAATTGTATTCAGGCGATGCTAGGTGCCTTGTCAAAGCATTTTCTTTGCCTCAATAGTCATCAGTATTTATCCTCGTGCTGTGCTGCAATCTTTAATCATTGCAAATCCCCCCTTTCATTCCAGATGAATATTGATAACTTTCTATTTGTTTGGAGATACGTTTGACTCGTGTCTTTGTGTACACACTGTGTACGCCTGTGTGTGTGCATGCAGGCAATGCTAATTTGACGGAACATGAGGGTACATTTTTTTTTCTGTCGCAGCTCATATCTCAGCCACAGACCATATAATCCTCAGTATTGATACAGCGTGAGATATGATCATTGACTTTACAGTGTAATCGAACCAATGTTGGCCTCTTTATCATATTTGGCCTTAAAGCACAGCACAGACCAGTGGACTGTCTGTTATCTGCTCGGCACCACTCGGGGGTGTCAACCCCTCAACTGGATCGATGCCATTATAATATAAAATCACTACCAGCTCAGATGTGTGGTAATGGCAACAGTTCAGCGTGATCGAGCGAGAGATTGACGGCACGATTGCGGTCTGTGAGAAAAGTCTGCCAGTGAATAGCGAGTATTGATATCTTGCCGATGGAGGACGCATCACTTCCCCGACTGTAAGACTAACAGGAGCTCTGCCATCTCCTCGGTGCTGTCTGAATCATTGAAGAGGGCTGAGGAACTCCACTGGGTAAAAAAAAAAAAGGGGGTTTGAGATTGTGTTTGTGTGGAGAAGGAGAATGAGCAAACGACTGCATGTGAAAGATTAATAGGCCTCTTGGCTTTCTACATGCCTAATAAAGTGTTACTGCGTGATCATTATAGTTCATAAATAAGCTCAGGGTGAGAGGGGGTGAAAAGGATGATGAGGAAGACTCAAATGCAGATAGAAAACGACTTCCACCCACTTTATACGAAGACATGCAGTTAGTGTGCCTGCTTGGCCTGGATGAATCCAAACGTATTCATCACAAGGACTATTGAAATGTCAGACATTCGAGTTTGTTCTGAAACAGATGAATCTAAGAGATGAGGAAAGGAACAATCTCTGCTGATTAATCCGCTCTGAGGCGTGGTGGGAGGACGGGCGTGGATCATGCCAGCGTTCATAATATCTGATTGTCTGTGGAGCCTTTTGTCTCACCGCTTACTGCAACTCGATTACCATTCGCCCAAAATTGAATGAATTGCACCAAGCGGCAGATTGAGAGGATATTGGAATTCAAATTTGTTTTTTCATTTCTCGAGGAACAAACCCAATCTGCAGGGAGAAGTTTACAGCCACGGTTGCAGTTGGCTTTTTCCTCCGGGTTGTGCCTCTTACGATATTCCACCTGAGCCTTAAATTCCACCCTAGAAATCTCCCCGTCAGCCCGTGTTTGTGTTTTGACTCCCTGTCAATGGCATGTAATTTATTCAGTTCTGAGTGAAGGACTGGGATGGCAGCCCGTGTCCACTATACGCTCATCAATAATGACCTAATTCATCATTCCCCTGTCAGGGAAATAACACCGCTGTTGACGAGGTGAGGCAACCTATTTCGCTGTAAGCATGAATAATGGCATGTAGTAATGCGCAGGTGAAAGATGTGTTCAGTTTTGTACTGAAAATCAATTTTCGCCCAATTTCTTTTTCTCTCACTTGTGTTGAAGCTTGTATGGCAGCAGGCCACTCTCCCTCCATCTGCACCAGTGTAATCGTCCAAAAGAAGCACACGCTGACAGAGATAAAGCACGCGGTGGGTTTGCCACTATCATTTGTTTTCTATCAATGTTGGGTGATTTCCAAGTGGACAGAAATCCATGTAGAGCAAAGATTAATTTGTGTTTACGGCCGCTGTTTATCTCCATAAACAGCCCTCGTAGAGCTCCAAATCCCATCAAAGACCAGCACAAGTTATCACAGGTGCCTCCGGAGCACCAAGGGCATCGGGACAACATCTATGCCATTATGTGCAAACTAATTAATTAATAGAGAGCCTGGCAGTGTGCAATCCCTGATGAGGAATTAATCCCCTCTCCAGACTTCAAGCCACATGACTGAAACATCTGTTGATGTGTGAGGTGGCAGCCTCAGTGCTGCCTGAGGGGCTTTATTGTTTCTAGTTTATCACGTTTTGGGGGTTTTTTTCTTGAAAAAGAAAAATGATTATCATTAACTGCCCCAGCATGCAGCGCGACGTCTTGCAACAATCTCTATGAAACCGCTTCTCTGCAACACCTGTTTCATAACTGCCCTATTAACAGCAGGTAGTGCTGTGGGTTTATCCGCGCATTGCTGGTAGTAAAGTGAAGCTGTATTTACCCAAACCATTCGTCTTGCACTCGGGCTCGATCCTCCTGGCTTGATTTACAGCGAATAAATGTGCTTGTTCTTCCAAGTGGAGGCGCAGCCGGTGACCAATAAAGTCTCTTTTACTGCCGTTGATGAGCCGGGCTCGATGGCAAAGTCTTTCTTTTTACAGTCCGGGTGTTTGTGTGGAGTCGGGCTCCAGGAGAAGGCTCATCTCGAGGCTGTTAGACTTGGAAGTCATCGCCACTGCCACACCAAGCAGACACGAGTTTGTAGGAACCAAAAAATAAATAAATAAACGGCTCATACTTATCAAGATATCGCCCTCCGTGTAGATCTGGCATGACCGATGTCTCCGTGGTTATTGCAGAGGCGCGATCTGAATCTGGATCCGTCACCTCCTGCAGTGTCGTTTATTCTTTTTTTTGTGTCGTTGTCGGTTTATCTTTTGATACAGCTGCGGATGCAGAGAGCCGCGCGGGGCTCGGTGCTGCTGCTGCTGCTCGGGTCGGACTCCGGCTGTGCAGAGCAGTCTGGGGGGGGGGGGGGGGGGTCGGTCAGAAGTGGAGCAGCAGCGACGCCAAATCCTTAAAGTGGAGACCGCAGACCGAGAAGATGGCTCATGAGAGGAGAGAGAGAGAGGACGCAGAGCGCTGCAACAGAGGAGCTCGAAGAGAAACTCACTCACGCTGTCCGAGTTTGGTTGTGGTGTTAATTTGTAAGCAGGTTACGTGCTGCGCTCCAGACCTCCCACCCTCCTCCGTTTCTCCTCCTCTGCTCCACCACCAGCAGCTGTGGAAGTTAAGCTGGAAGATGCTATGAATATTTGAGAGCACCCAGTTACAGTTCCCTCGTTGGTTATGGTAATCACCATGATGCCACTTGCAAGAAGAATAGTTGCATTGTTTTGAGAGCAGGCGAATACCTTATTTACCCCTTCCCCGCTTGAAATAGGAGCGGAGGAAGTAGAGCGAGAGATGCTTGTAGCCTGTAGACAGACTTGGAGCCCAGGAGGCAGATGTTACAACTTTAATTAGTCCTCTCTACTTACTGTCGTGGTCACGCAAGGAAATCATCCCTCTGTTGTAGATTAACTCATTACAGACGGCTTACTTAAACAGAAGGATTGGGAAATTCTGAGACAGATCTGGTCGAAAATGAATCTTTTGGAAACTGTTTAAAAAGGAGAGCTGGCTGATTTCCTCGTTCAAGAATTAAATTTTGGGTCCTTTGTCAGCCACAGATGCGATTTAAAGGAATTTCGTGGCGTCACCTCTTCTTCAAGGTCCTGCTCCTTCAAGTGCGTCTGAAGGCATTCCTGTCTGCACCTTTAGCTCCAGCCCTCAAATGCCTCTTTTCTCTTTGTGTGCCAGCTTCATTTTAGAGTGAGAGGTTTAATCAGACTGGTAGGAAAGGGGATGGAGAGTCATCTTTCTTGTCAGATTCGGCTCTGCGCTCTGCTGGCTTTCAAGAGAAGAGAGATTTTCCATTTTGCTCACTTCAACGTCTTTTTTTTTTTTTTCTTCTCTTTTTGTTCCTTTTCACCCGTCTTCTTCTTTTCGCTGCCTTTCTTCCACCCCTCTCCTCATGTTTATCCCATTCTCTCCTCCATCCTGCTACTATCCCTCCTCTTTTTTGGGGGCTTTTGTTCCCCGTGGGTGTGGTTGAAGGTCATTCTGCACACTGGCTCACTTTCGGAGAGGAGAGTGTGAGGGAGAGCGAAGCAGGGGAAAGGACATGCCAGATCATAGAGAACAGCAGAGGAGGGCGAGGGGCAGCCAGGCGGGGAGAATGTCCACAGGACTGTGCAGTCATCACTTTTAGCTTCAGACATGATCGGGGAAGTCTGGAAGGTCACAGACTGTCCAAGAACGCTGAAGGCGTCAACACCGAGTCATGCGCCACAGCAGACCCGAGGCTGACCTCCACAAACATGGAGGACTCGGTCCCTTCACCTTCCTCCTCTTGGCTCGTTCTCTGTGTCACCTCAGAGTGTGTTGCATTCATTAAGAGAGCCCTGATTTAGCATTGTCCAACTCATGGGCAGTAAAGAAAATCTGATGCAGCAGAAATGGAGATATTGTCCTTTTTATTCCAAGCATTCTTCTTCCTTGTCGAAACCTGAGATTTGGGTGTGTTGTGCTAGTGCCAGTTAATGTACCCTGTGACATCGCTTCAGGAAATTTATCCGACTCCGTCTGGAGCCACAAAAGCCTTTATTCAACTTTGTTCACATATTGTCCTCCCAGAGACCTGTAAACAGACGTTGATGTGTAAAATTGGCAGAGTTCCCCTTTGAATAACTTTCAGCGTGCAAAATTCACTATTATCTCCGAATACGCGATGAACACAGAGCAGGCTTTGTCAAAACGTTGCTGTCAGTTGTCGATGCAGTCTGACTTGGTTCTAACCCCTGACTCTTTCTTTATGAGTCTCTCCTCCACTTGTCAGCGAGTCTGGTGTATTTTCAGACATCTCCAGCGTGGAGCCTCAGCTGCCTGCAGTCAAGGCTCCTGTGTTTCTGCTGCAGCCTCCACACGTGATTAATCATCTGGAGTGGCAAAAAGCACAACACTGTCAAGACTGTGAGGGGAACCTAATGGAGTTGAAAATGGGATGTTTTGTCGTGATGCAATCCATTTTGTTTCACCCGTCGCCCGCTTGCTTTCACCATGCCCTCAAACAGCAGATGTGTCTTCTTGTGCCAGGAATGAAAACGTGAAGGCTGCCTCTGTTTTAAGCAGAGATCCAGGCGGCAATAACACCTCTTAGAAGTTTTGGTTGTTATGAAAATGAGTCCCGAATTTGGTCCGCTCCATCAGGTCGGCTCTCGAGCTCGTGTGAGCGGCGCTCCTCAGCTCTCTCGTGCAGGGCTGTGTATTGGCCTCAGCACAGTTCACTGGAGACCGTGTTCATTTTCCACTTTTGAGCCTAATCCACCGATTCCAGGGTGGAAAATCAAGTAAGATGCATGTCCAGCGTGAACTCAATTTATTTTTGCTCTTTGTTGCTGTGTGTGTGTGTGTGTGTGTGTGTGTGTTGGACCTAAACCGACCTGCTGTTCAGCCTCCCAGCTTCCCCCTCTGCAGCTGAAGGGTTCAACATGAAACCTAATCAGCTGTGTGACGCTACAACGGGGCTGAATGTGATAAAATGCCAACAGCGAAGCAGATTAAATGAACACGGTAATGAAGGTAATGAATGAGAGTGTTTCACACTGAAGACTTTAATTAACCTCGCCTCCCACCAGCCTCTCACCACTGTAACACCTTCGCCACCGTATCTCGGCCCTCCAGTGTGCCGATCGCCCGGGGCAATTTATCAGGTGGCCTCGTGTGCCAGGGGTAATTAATCCTGCCTCCTGCCCCGAGGCCTTGTCCTGCCTCTGTGTCCTTTATCTCCGTGTTTGCCACGCTTCCATAAGCACAATACTGCTCTTGACCTGCTCGCCCTACTCTTTCTCATCTCCCTCCATCGCTTCCTCTCTCCTGCATTTCTTTTTCCGCCCTGTTCTCTCAGATACAGAGACACCTGCGACCGCACACAGTGAACACTTGCCCACTGTCAGCAGTCTCTGGCAGCTTAATATGCACACATATCCACTGTTGAACAGATAGTCTTGTCAGATTTAAATGAGGCCAAAGTATTCATACATAAACATATACACGCACACACACACTCACCCATATTCATGAGGACCTCCTGCGGCCTTTTGCTTTACTTGTCTCCTCTCCCGTTGTTCACCTTGGTTACACAAATCCATCTCATTGTTCAAATATTGACCGCGACGATCACTGACCACATTCTGACAACGTTAATACACCTCGGCTGTCTCTCTTTCTCTTTCCCGTCTCTCCTCCCCTCCATCTACACACTCCCCGTCCTGCCACGCCATGCAGTGCTACATCTTGTTAAAAAGAGTTAGTGAAGCTGAAAGGCCAATCACATTAACGCGGAAGGAGTGTCAAAAAAGACTGCAGAGAGTCTGGTGGACGGGTCAAATCAAACGGACACTTCCCAGATTTTAATTGCAAATGTCTAATTGCTCATAATTATGAGTAATAAGGCTCCGCCGTGCTGATCTTGAATGGATCATATAGCAATTACTCACCGCTGTCGCTGCTGGATTTGACGGCGGGAAATATATTCGTAGATTAATCCCGGTGCCCAGGATCTCAGAAGTCTTTGAGGATGTGCGGCTGAATGTGCTCGCCCACAGCCGCCGTGGAAGGCCCCGCCTCGGGTGATGGACTGCAGCCATTTTATACTGGAGAGCACCCGGCTCTAATCAGTCATGGTGGAGGACAGAGGATTTATCCAGCAGCTCGGACTCGAGGATGATTAGATGCTCAGATGCAGTGAGCGGGGTTAGCGATTTGGCCAGGGCACGAATGTTACTGTTCCAGTTCTCTCTCTCTCTCTGTTAAATGTCACGTTGAGTTGGAGGAGCCGACCTTGAACCTTCCTTTCATGGCACACCAGCCCTCCGCCACAGTTAAACACTGTGATTACCAGCATGATTCAATCACAGTAATTACTGCAGTTAAACTATTAAATAGCCAGAGGCCAAAATAAAACATCCTCATGCCGCCACCTTCAGTGGAGGATATGCCTGGACTTCTGTGGAACAGGTTAATTAAAATATGATTACCTGTCTCTGGTGCATACTTTATTGTGTGCAGAGCTGAGGGCAAACTGTCTGCTATCCCCAAGTGAGTGGTCGTGTCCCATCCTCTTTATTTGCCACTCTTCAGGCTTTTATAAAGTATTTGTTCAAGCCCTATTTCAACAGTAAAGGACTATCTGGTCAGGGAGGCCGTGTGAAGTCTTTGTCTATCTTTCGAGCACTCGGTCCTCTGTCTACATAATGTCTCGTCGTCCGTGCTTAAGCACACTTTAGAAGCATCCGGCATTATCTCCGGCTGGTCAGGGAGGCTCTTTCATGGCACTGTGTGACATGAAAGGACCATCTGAGTCGGCGGGAGAGATCGTTATCCGACATGGGCTGAACAGAAGGGAAGGAATGGGAGCTAAATATGTGAGGCAGAGCCCGAGGGTTTGCTTTGACTCATACGCAACATCACAGCCTTTATACTAATCCATATTTAATTAGACTTTCCTTCGGTGCTCCCTCTCCAGTTGTTTACCCTTGTCATGTTGTTTTATGGGAGGCAGGGAAGGGCACGGGTAGAAGATAGTGAGGTTGACATGGGATTACTATTAATAAGCACGGGAGGGGAGGGAAGGTAGAGCCTAGCGAGGGCTCCAGGGACGGAGCTGCATTTCATTTCATTAGTACCATATTGTGATTCAAATAGCGCCCATCAGCCCTGAAACAATAACCTGCCTCGACTCGTGTCATGTGTTGAAATTTCAACCAGTTTGTTGTTATTGTGTTAGCGGATGCATAGAAACGCCGGTGGGTAATGAGTAGCCTTACAGACCCAAATGGAGTGATGGGGTCACGTAGATCAAGCAGCTGCTTTTGAAGCCTTTAGTGGAAATGATGTTCAGAGAACTTTCTGCTC